GGTGTGGAGAGGATGGCTATAAGAAGAGAAGGGAGGCCATCCAAAAAATAAAAAATAAATAAAAAACTTCCTGGTTTTTCACCAGTGTGGTTTCCTGTCAGCTCCGGTGACATTAAACCTCACTCAGTTCCAGAATTCTGGTGTTGTTTTGTTTGATTCCTTCTACAAATCATTTTATTTAACAATGATGGGTTTAATATCGACTTTAGTTTATTGAATACGTATTTTTCTTACAGTTTTGGTGACCCCGACGTCTGACTGAAAGTCGAGTAGGAAGCGGAGCTGTTGTGGTGCTTCAACTGCTAGGCCTTGCGGTGCGGGCCGCTGTATCGACGTACATTCTGGGCGTCGGAAAACAGGTGAGCAAAATCTTTTTTGCTTTCCATCTTGTTAACCAAACAGAACGGTGTGGCGATCGGTGTTTCTGCATGCTGGGCTGTGTGTCGGGGCGTTGAAACAGCCCCGCTAAGTGTTAGCTTTGCTGAGCTAAGCCTGTTTGTCAGCTCAGCAAAGATAGCGTGTCATTCGGCGTAGCCGAATGTGGACGGTAAAAGACAGTTTATAAGCGTTTAAATGTAACAGTCTGTGGAGGTTTAAAGCCATACAATAAATTGGGCCCTTTAGGTAGTGAAATATGTGTTTTTATATGTTTTTTGGTGCGTGTTGTGTGTGAAAATATCTCTTAGGCCATTTTATCTGATGAGCTCTTTCTAAAAAAACCTAAGTGGGTCTTCTGTAAAAGGCTGCACTAAAGCAGGTGGGGTGCAACATTATAATTACATGGTGGCCGCACAGGCAGTTGTATTATGCTCGTCAAAAGGAAGAATCCATGAATTGTAAGTTGTGATTTCCTGGTGGGTATTTCCGCATGGTTTTAAAAAAATCCTTGTTTAAAGGTGGGGTCTTCGTGCGCGGCATTGGGAATAAATCCAGGGGTCAAACACTTTTCTTTCCTCTCTCTATCTTTGTTTGTTTATGAGAATGTGTGTGGGGTGGTTACGTATATAAATTATAAATATGTCTGATAAATTTGTAGAAGATTTGCATAAATTCTAAGATGGGTCTCAGGGGGTGGTCTTATATCGGACTTTTTCAGGTTTATCTTGCAGATGTTGAATCTAAAAATTTAAGGACGGAAAAAAGATGTTTTTGTTAAGATGTGCCAAGTTTTATTGCATGACGGAGACTTGTTACAGTTTGACCTAGCAGCGCCCACACTTGCAGCGATAGACAGAATTGTTTGTAAATTGGAGGGGGGTTTGTTTGTTTGGGTTCAGTTTATTGAATACGTATTTTTCTTACAATACAAAATCTAAAATATTTTGTTCATGTTGGTTTCTTCAGAACGCCCTGAGTCAAAAAAACAAAAACAACTTTCCCCTGCTGCTAATGAGGCAAAAAATGTTTTTGACTGTGTGTGTATTAGCTAAATATCTCATGAAACACTAGATGGGTAAAAGTCAGACAGAATCACTGGATGTACATCTACAACACATTAACTTCTGGAGCCAACACAAGTCAGACTGGCCGCCACTTCCACTCAATCTTAAACACATAATAGCTATAACTCTGCCAGTTTCTCAGGCATTGAGCTGAAACTGGGTGTGCTATTAGCCAAGAGTCATTAACAACACAAAGCACTGAGTGCTAACATGCACTGCAGGGATCATGAGCTTGTGCACAACATCATTTACAAGGTTTGATCAACAGTCAGAACTCCCTGAAACCAGTTGTGAGTTCTGAAAACAGACATTTATTGAAAAACCAACATCGCCGGTTCTTTCCTGGCTGGCTGCTGTGCGCTGCACTGCTGCTCTCGAGAGAGAAAAGGTGAAATAAAAGTACCTAAGGAAGATTAAGGTGAATGCATTTTTAGTTCAAGCCTAGGAAAACGACCCTGATGTTACCAAAAAGAAAAAAATAAGTAGGTCCACTGGATGGGTTCTTCTTCAGTGGAACGTTTCATCTCCTCCAAGAGACTTCTTCAGTCTGATGAGTTTCAGGTGAACTCAGCCTTATAAGCACTGCCTCCACATGGACAAACAGGTTAGTCACATGAACGAGAGGGCCATCGACTAACCATACGCTACCTGAATTACTGAGATGCATCAGGAGACCCTGATGTCAAGTTGCATTTAAACGACAAGGTGTAACACGTACGACTGCCCGAGGCAGGGAAAACATATATGGATGTGTCCCGCTGCCCGCCTGACTGGGCATGGAAACCATTTCTTTTATTTTGGCCATTTAATTTAAAATTCTGGAAAATAAATGAAACACAGCATTTTAAAGCACAGACAGGATAAATCCTCAATTTCTCCCTTCTGCTGCACGTCGCACACACCGAATCATTAACAACTCTACTTGTCCTTTGCCCACACACAAATTTTCGAAGATAAAACTTGTTTTTTTTAATTTTTTTTTTTTTTATTGCTACTCACAGGGATGAAAAAAAGATGTGGACACCTTTTTCATGCATACCTTTTGGAGGTGCTTTGGGTGCAAACACTCGCTTCTCTTCAACTTTAGAGGCTGAATCCACACTAGTGGGCAATGAGTTGTTGTTGGCTGGAGCTTCATACACATATGAACCGGCTCCACCAATGTTGACACCTACAAAATGTAGATCATGTTAACTTTAGGAGCACAAACATGTATTTATGCAGTGTTGATAAAAATAAATGTGCACTTCACCTTTTGGCCCGAAGAGGGCAGCATAGCATGGTTTGTGGCAGTAGGGCCGTCCATCATGCTGTGGGAGAGAAAAGGAAAAGGAAAAACAAACTGACTCAACAACCACATGAAGACAGAAATACCCATCTGCAGAGAGAAAAATGAACACGACGTGTATGAGAAGTCTGAATTTGACGTTTTTTGATGTCCTTTTGTGAGAACAAAAGTGACCTTGGCTAAATTAGGAGCCAATGTTTAATTTTTTCCTTCTCTTTGCCACCTAATGATGAAGTCATTGTCAGTTTGCCCTGAAACCATAATATCGACTCCAGCCGTTCCCAAGAAACAGACTTCTGTTGAATCTAACACCACAGCTCAATGAGAGCTCTGTGTCTGCACACGTGTGAACGTCTAGGTTTCCACTTTAAGGAGGGGAAAACAGCTCGTCTGCGACATAAATGGCCTTCTGCTGAAGCGTGGAGGGAGTGATCATTTCTGGGATGGCTACTGGTCCAAATCCTGATGCCCATAGATGAGAAAATTTCAGCGCAGCAGGCAGGGTGCCATGCTTCGGTAGGAAAAAACAGGTAAAAACCGACACACATAAGGGCAAATACACAAGAGCTCCACTTTCAGTGGCAGGCGATAATAAACCACCTCTGCTCACTCAGTCTCAGCTACTTGAGCTCCTTTTTTAGAAGACTTGTGGGAGGAAAAAAAAAAGATCCTTCTTACCTTAAATAATGGATTAACCATGGCAGAACCAGCTACTGTTAAAGCTGCCAAGCACTACTTTCACATCATGTTTGACGTTTCTAAGATCTGTGAAGGATCTGCTACTGGAAGCCAAATAGTAACACAGCTCTGATGACTTCCTGTTGAGGGGGCACTCAGGACTTCATTACTCTGAACAGCTTGGATTGTAGTCTGGATAAAATGTGAATCCTCGACATGTAAATGGACCCTAAAAATGGATAAAACACCGTACTGAGTCCACACGTTTTCCACATTTGCTTCTTCCAGTCCCTCTCCTCACTGTAGTTTTCAGGACCACTGATGCTGTGTGAGACACCAGAATGAAAACAAATCAACTCTGGAGCCTGGGGTGGTTTTGTCTCATTTTTTTCAAAGACTTCACTCATATGTTATTCAAATAAATATCTAATTTTCAGCATGAGTTATTCAAATGTGCCCCAATTTAGCAAGTGACTGGGTTAAGTTCCTTTTTAGCCGGTGAATCCTTAAAACAGCCTATTAGTGACCTCAAAATAATACAGATTATAGAACCAGACTGAAAGGTTTGTATTGTCTAACTGTAATGGTGCGTTCACACCGAACGCGATTTCAGCTTCAAAATCGCAGCCAACGCTGAAGTTTGAAGCTTGTGCACTTTGAGGTCAGACGCAGGAC